TACGGACACGGACGGCTGCGACCAGAACCCATGCCCCCAGGGCTCCAACTGTACGGACGTGCCGGCAGATCTGGAGGCACTGGGATACCCAGCCTTCAACTGCACGGCCTGCCCCACCGGGTACGAGCTGGACACCGAGGAAAACAAATGTGTGGGTAAGTATAACCAAGGGGCGTGGTTAAGGTGTGGTTTGGCGTTCTTCCTGGTTGTTTCAGATTAAATATCAAAATATGGATCAATTATGTGACACAAATATTTTATTGTACTAGTTTCATATGGAAAATTGAGTTATTGTATTACTAAAACATCGACAAGAACTTCAACTAATAGATACAAAAATAAATAGATAATAACACATTTGTGTAATAAATATACTATTTCAGACGTCGACGAATGTACTAGTAACACGACCAGCAACCTCTGCACCAGTATTTGTATCAACAATATGGGTTCCTACATATGTGATTGCTATGACGGCTACGTGAAGAACGGCACATACGACTGTGCGGGTGAGTACGGCATGAGAACGAAATATACAGAACCTTCTGGGTGAATTCCTTGAATGAAACATTATAATTGCACGCTCTTCATCCTTCAAGTATGTAACAAGTGCACTTCATATATATTGTGTTTGATTTTTTTTTTAAATATCTGAAAACTGTTTAAACATTTATAGAGATATAATACCCTACAGTTACTTGCTATTTTCCCTTTCAGACATTAACGAGTGTACAGAGCAGACAGACAATTGCACACAGGTGTGTGCTAATATACCTGGCAGTTTTACCTGCTCTTGTATTGAAGGCTATGAACTGCGGCCTGACGGAGTCACCTGCTTTGATGGTAAGGACAGGTTTTCGTTTGACTGAGTACATAGAATTATATGTAGTGTTTGATAGTGGAAATGGTACTCATGAATTTTCTAAAATTTAAATACATTTTAACATTAATGGAAAATGCATACCACTTTAATAAAGGATAAATTAGCATACAATGCGCAACCAAAGTTGCAAATTTGAGCTGATAGCTTTTCCAGTCTAAATGCTCATCTTAGCGTGTATTCAGAATCGAAAAATAAGACATATTGGATCATTTCGTATTCAGCACCCATCTTATCTTTTGAAAAACTCAGTCAGGAAAATTTTCAATTTGTTCAGCAAAAATCACTTACAGACGTTACACAGGGAACAAATATTGCTATTAAATGTAATTATGTGGGAATATTATCTTACATTTTACAGCAAACAACACTTGTGCCAGGTATAGTCTGAACTGCTCCGAGATCTGCTCGGCTGATATCGGGAACGGACAGCCAGGGTGCGCGTGTCCCCAAGGTTACACGATCTCCCCAGCTGACAACAGCACATGTGACGGTACGTACACTTCATATGCACCCAGCAAACCATAAAACATTTTTTTAACGTTACCATATCGTTACCATAACGTTTTTTGGTCATGTTAACGTTATGGTAAGGTTATAATAACGTTCTGTGCTTGCTGGATAGAATTCGATACCAAAAATGCACGTAATTATGAGATTCAAAGACATATATATTACGTACTAGTATTTGTTTACCAGTGATTAATGTACTTACTTTTTGTAAGCTGATTGAGTTTAGTTGTACAGTTTGAAATTAAAAAAAAAAATGATATATGATAATTTACCAGAGCCATTATTGCCACTGTAATTGTTTGCGAATACTGATCATCATATTCCCAGATATCGACGAGTGTACCCTAAACACGGACACCTGCAGTCACACGTGTAACAACACAGACGGAGGCTACACATGTTCCTGTCCTAGCGGGTTCACCCTCGGTTCTGATAAGAGAACGTGTCAAGGTAAGGGCACATGTTTTTGTTCCATGTTTTAAATGATATTTAAATAGCCCTATTTAAATAAGTCCCAAGCAATGATCACTTAGATACATTTATGTACGACTATATTTTCTGAAAAAGGTAATATTTTGGGTAGGATAGAATGAATAAAAAGACAGCAAAGAACAAAGAATATAGCTGTGGACGGAGGAAAGTATTTGTAAACCATATTAGTAATTAATAAATCAGGTATGTGAAAAACAGTGATGATATAAAAAGACGCCTAGACCAACTACCCGATATAGCCCACAAAGTACACCATGTATGACTTCTATCATGTATACTAACCTTTCAGAGTGTGCCCTACCCAAGTACGGCGACAAGTGTTCGTTCACGTGCGACTGTGGCAGCCGGGCCTCTGTATGTGACAACGTAGTGGGCTGTACCAACTGTACGGACGGCTGGACTGGCGACCAATGCAGGACGGACGTAGACGAGTGCGCACTGGGCACGGCTAACTGTGGGAGTGGCGCCAATTGTACCAATACCAACGGCAGTTATATCTGTCTGTGTGGTGATGGGTACTCGAAGGTGCAAGGGTCCGATCCTAATGTCCCCGGATATTGTGTTGGTAAGAGGTGGCATGTTTTACGTTGATTTTTGGTAATTGTGATTAACGTTCTTATTAAAACGCAATGCTCTATACGGTTGTACAGTGTATTTCGACACGTAAAAAAGAATGATTATTTATATACCATGAAGTTGCAGCAGCAGCAACTATATGTTGTTTGCCTCAGTGAAAGGCTTTACATTGCCACTTGCGGCATGCGACAAAAGGGTTTGTCAACTGTTTTTCACTTTTCGTCTATGTCAATACTACTCCGGTCGTACAAAGACACTTACGTGACGAAGCGTATTAAATCCTATTTTGTCTCCTATCCAGACTTTGACGAGTGTAACGACTCCGAGAGCCCTCCCTGCAGCCCCACAGCGACTTGTAATAACACTGTTGGCAGCTTTGTGTGTTCCTGCACCCCGGGTTATGTCGGCAACGGCACGTACTGTGAGGACAGCAACGAGTGCCTGGCGGGGACAGTGTGCCAGGGGAGTGGGGAGACGTGTGAAAATACGGTACGATATCTTTAAAAGAGCAAAATTCAATTAAAACTTTTCAAACAATTTTAGCTGTCATTATCTTATGTTCATCTGTGCTGTCCACTTTGATGAGGAACAAATATTGGCCGTTTTTCAAAACACAGAAATAACTGTTTTCAGAGGGAATACTTCTTTTGTGATATTCTTCTTTTCTTAAGTCTTCATTCATTCATTTCTTAATTCTTTAATCTTAATTTATGCCTACATTTGTACATGAATTGCTTTAGTTTGAAATCGTCAACATTCATAAGCATTTTCAGATACCTAATGTCAGAAAATTGTTCATTTGACATATAATTTATTTACAAACAAATATGATTTACTGTTAGTCAAGAAATTCCCACAATGTTCTCTATTGTGACATCAAATTGATTACACCATTCTCGTTACATCTGTATATTCCAGGTGGGCAGTTTCTTCTGTTCCTGTCTGTCCGGCTACAACAGAGTGGCCGGAGTGTGTCAGGATGTAGACGAGTGCGCCCAGGGTACACACAGCTGCCACCAGTATGCCACGTGTAACAATTTGCCAGGTAGGGATTTTACCTTTCTTCCGAGCGCTTTTACCTTCGACACAGCCAAGAATGTCTGTTGGTTGTAGACTTAATTTTGGTCTAGCAATTTGCAGACCAAGGCATGTTTTGGCCGCAGGTTTTACCAGATCTGTGCATTAATTTTGTAAACTTTTGTACTTCTGTGGATCCATGTCAATGATTGTAGTAGTAATAAGTACATCTGTGAGGAATTAAGTAACTCCTGCTTGACGTATTTTGTATGTACGTAGTTATATGGTTACATATTGTTGACTTATCTTTTCTATTGTATCTGTCAATGGACATGTAAATACATTATAAAGTTAAACTATGTGGTGTCTCTCTTTTAATTAATTATGAAAAAGGTCAAACTGTATTGATGGTGTACCTTAAGTCTAGATGTCTACCCTTTCAGGTAATTACAGCTGCTCTTGTAACGCTGGCTTTACCGGTAACGGAGTCTTCTGCTCAGATGTAAACGAGTGCAGAAATCTTACCATATGTGGCACTGGGGAAGGTTCTACGTGTAATAACACCATTGGTGGATACGAATGCTCGTGCAGAACCGGATATTACGTCAATGGTACAGAGTGCGCAGACATTGACGAATGTGTTGACGTGAATTATAACAACTCGTGCCACCAGTATGCCACCTGTGCCAACTTCCCGGGAAGATTCACCTGCACCTGTGACGGCGGATTCACAGGGAATGGGACATATTGCGAAGACGTCGATGAGTGTAATGGCACCAACCCATGTAGTAACGGCGGCAACTGTACCAATACCATCGGTTCTTACGCCTGTGTATGCCCAGATGGGTACACCGGTAGCTTATGCGGAGTCCAGGTTATAACCTCATCTAGTTCAGTTCAAAGCTCAACGGCTTCGAGTAGCGTTTCTGAACCAGTAGGTACAACTGGGCAATTGGTTTCGACTGCCCTATCAGTTTCCACCAGTTCATCTGTTGGGGTCATTGTTTCTTCAAGTGCTTCGGATACCTTCACGACATCCTCAGGTCTGGTAACACCAACCTCTACAATATCTGCAACAACACCAGGAAGTTCTGCCGATCAGAGTACAGCATCCTCGTCTTCCAGCGCGACAGTTTTGTCCAGCATCTCTGAAGCAACAGTGGCGACATCTATCAGCCAAGTCACTGTGTCGTCCACAGATCTTGCAGCAAGTTTGTCCGCAGGGATATCGACTTCGCAAAGTACATCTCCAACAGCTGGAGTGGTCTCCACAGGCCTGTCGTCTCTGGCGCCCTCTACAGTTCAGGTAACAGAAACACCCATAATTGTAGACTCATCAACAAGTACCGCTGTAGCGTCTAGTGCTTTGGACACACTGCTTACATCTGTAACAGATCAGACTATATATTCAACAACAATACTTTCAACAAGTTCATCTGTTTTATCGTCAGAAGCTTTACTAACTTCACCCACAGAACAAGTTTTGTTGGAGTCAACTCAAACGTTGACTGCTTCAATGCTAAGCACGCTTAGTGTATCTAGTGTTTCGGGAACGGTAGTAGCATCAATAGCAGAGTCAGTGCATGTTAGTGAAACATCAGTGATTACGTCAGTTGAAACATCGGCTGCTGCAAGTGCTTCTGAAACATTACTAACCTCAGCAACAGGACCAGTCACTGTGACATCCTTTACTTCATCGGTAAGTTCAGCAGTAAGTGTAGCAGAGTCAACAAGCATGTCTGTTCCATTACTATATACGGTGACGGGTAGTGTAGAATCTAGTGCATCCTCGGCCAGTTTGTCCGAGTCAGTGTCCTCAAGTGCCTCTGGAATATCTCTAGTGTTAACAACAGCCACGACGGAATCCGCCACTTCAACAGATCGGTTAGTTGAAACGTCATCCATATCAAGTTTCGTTTCACGTGAATCTCCTTCCACTAGTGTACCATCAACGATAATAACTTCATCAACGGACCAGGAAGTTGAAACGACATCCACATTGAGTTTCGTTACAAGTGAATCTTCTTTCACTAGTGTAACACTTACGATACTAAAGTCACCAACAGATCGGGTAGTTGAAACGTCATCCATACCATCGAGTTTCGTTACAAGTGAATCACTTTCTGCTAGCGGAACTTCAACTATGCTATCCTCATCAACGGATCAGGTAGTTGAAACAGCATCCATAACACCAAGTTTTGTTACGAGTGCATCTCCTTCTGCTGGCGTAACGTCAACGATACTAACCTCATCAACAGATCAGGTGGTTGAAACGTCATCCATATTATCAAGCTTGCTTACAAGTGAACCTCCTTCCTCTAGTGTTACGTTAACGATACTAACGTCATCAACTGATCAAGTAGTTGAAACAGCATCCATTACACCAAGTTTTGTTACTAGTGCATCTCCTTCCTCTAGCGTAACATCAGCGATACTAACGTCATCAACGGATCAGGTAGTTGAAACGTCATCAATACCATCGAGTTTCGTTACAACTGAATCACTTTCTGCTAGCGGAACTTCAACTATGCTATCCTCATCAACGGATCAGGTAGTTGAAACAGCATCTATAACACCAAGTTTTGTTACAAGTGCATCTCCTTCTGCTGGCAATACGTCAACGATACTAACCTCATCAACAGATCAGGTGGTTGAAACGTCATCCATATCATCAAGCTTGCTTACAAGTGAACCTCCTTCCTCTAGTGTTACGTCAACGATACTAACGTCATCAACTGATCAGGTAGTTGAAACAGCATCCATTACACCAAGTTTTGTTACTAGTGTATCTCCTTCCTCTAGCGTAACATCAGCGATATTAACGTCATCAACGGATCAGGAAGTTGTAATGATATCCATATACTCTAGCTTGCTAACAAGTGAATCTCCTTCCACTAGCGTAAATTCAACTGTGCTAACGTCAGCAACGGATCAGGTAGTTGAAACGACATTCATATCATCTAGCTTGCTTATACGTGAATCTCCTGCTAGCGTAACTGCAACTATAATAGCCACATCAACGGATCAGGAAGTTGTAACGACATCCATATCATCAAGTTTCGTAGCTGGCGAATCTCCTTCCTCTAGCGTTACGTCAACGATGCTAACGTCATCAACGGATCAGGCAGTTGAAACGACATCCACATACTCTAGCTTGCTTACAAGTGAATCTCCTTCTACAAGCCTAAGTTCCACTATACTAACGTCATTGACGGGTCAGGTAGTTGTAACGCCATCTATATCATCGAGTTTTGTTACAAGTGCATCTCCTTCCACTAGCGTAAATTCAACTGCACTAACGTCATCAACGGGTCAGGTAGATGAAACATCATCCATATCATCAAGCTTGCTCACAAGTGAATCCCCTTCTAGTAGAGTAACATCAATGATACTAACGTCATCAACGGATCAGGAGGTTGTAACGATATCCACATACTCTAGCTTGCTTACCAGTGAATCTCCTGTTGGCGTAACGTCAACTATGCTATCGTCATCGACGGATCAGGTGGTTGAAACAGCATCCATATACTCTAGCTTGCTTACAAGTGAATCTCTTTCCACTAGTGTAAATTCAACTGTACTAACGTCAGCAACGGATCAGTTAGTTGTAACATCATACATATCAAGTTTGGTGCCAAGTGAATCTCCTGCTAGCGCTACTTCAACTATACTAACCTCATCAACGGGTCAAGAAGTTGTAACGACATCCATATCATCAAGTTTTGTGCCAAGTGAATCTCCTTCTACAAGCCTAAGTTCAACCATACCAACGTCATTGACGGATCAGGTAGTTGCAACGACATCAATATTATCAAGTTTTGTTTCAAGTGAATCTCCTTCTGCTGGCGTAACTTCAATGATACTAACGTCAGCAACGGAACAGGTAGTTGAAACGACATCCATATACTCTAGCTTGCTTACAAGTGAATCTCCTTCTACAAGCCTAAATTCAACCATACTAACGTCATCCACGGATCAGGTAGTTGCAACGACATCCATTTCATCAAGTTTCACTTCAAGTGAATCTCCTTCTGCTAGCGTAACGTCAGCGATACTAACGTCATCAACGGATCAGGTAACAGGGACCTCAATTTTACATCAGAAAGTAAATCTGTTGAAGAGTTTCCTATCTTCGTATATTTTTTAAACTGCTCTGATTACAATCACATTTCAGAGGTATCCTATTGGAGAGGTATTCATAATGGTTTCATCAGGTTTACCTGTTGGTGACATAGTTTCATTTCGTCTATCTAAAACAATATTAACATCGAAAACTTTTCGCCCAGTCGACTATATTAATATTTAGCATGTCTCCTGGTGGAGGTGTTTGTTCACTTTCTTATAAAACAAATCCTCTAACACTTCAAACTAATAAAGAGTGAACATTATCAATAATACTGACGTTTAATGGCGAGTCATGATCATAAGCGTTCTATTAATCAATCATAATAATATTATCTATGTTTCAGATTCCAGATGTGTCCACTGTATCATTAGCAAGTTCGTCAATAGGTGGAACTGGCTCATTCAGCCCCTCTGCAGCACAATCTGCGACAGACCAAGCTAGCACGGCGCCGTCTGTTTCGTTCACTGCTTCGTCCACTGATTCTGGGGCAGCCTCTTCGTCAGCGCAAGACACATCAGCGTCCTTAACATCGTCTGTTGCCGTAGTTGCTTCCTCGACTGATTCTGTAGCAGTCTCTTCGTCAGCTCAAGACACAACGGCGTCCTCAACATCGTCTGTTGCCGAAGTTGCTTCTTCGACTGATTCTGTGGCAGCCTCTTCGTCAGCTCAAGACACAACGGCGTCCTCAGCATCGTCTGATGCCGTTGTTGATTCCTCGACTGATTCTGTAGCAGCGTCTTCGTCAGCACAAGACACATCGGCGTCCTCATCATCGTCTGTCGCCGTAGTTGCTTCCTCCACTGATTCTGTAGCAGTCTCTTCGTCTGTTGCCGCAGCTGTTTCGTCCACTGATTCTGTGGCAGCCTCTTCGTCAGCTCAAGAGACATTGGCATCCTCAACATCGTCTGTTGGCGAAGTTGCTTCCTCGACTGATTCTGTAGCAGCGTCTTCATCAGCTCAAGANAAGACACAGCGTTCTCATCATCATCTGTTGCTGCAGCTGTTTCGTCCACTGATTCTGTGGCAGCTTCATCGTCAGCTCAAGACATATCAGCGTCCTCAACATCGTCTGTTGCCGTATCTGCTTCGTCCACTGATTCCGTGGCAGCCTCTTCGTCAGCTCAAGACACATCGGCGTCCTCAACATCGTCTGTTGCCGTAGTTGCTTCCTCGACTGATTCTGTGGCAGCGTCTTCGTCAGCTCAAGACACAACGGCGTCCTCAACATCGTCTGTTGCCGAAGTTGCTTCTTCGACTGATTCTGTGGCAGCGTCTTCATCAGCTCAAGACACATCAGCGTCCTCATCATCGTCTGTTGTCGCAGCTGTTTCGTCCACTGATTTTGTGGTAGCGTCTTCGTCAGCTCAAGAGACATTGGCGATCTCAACATCGTCTGTTGTCGTATCAGCCTCAACGACTGATTTTGTGGCAGCCTCTTTGTCAGCTCAAGAGACATCAGCGTCCTCAACATCGTCTGTTGCCGCAGCTGTTTCCTCCACTGCTTCCGTGACAGCTTCCTCGTCAGATCAAGACACATCGACGATCTCAACGTCGTCCGTTGCCGTAGCTGCTTCGTCTTCTGTAACACAACCCTCATCATCGGATCAGGTCACGTCAACGTCGGTCACTGACCCATTAAGCAGCCCCGTTGCAGTTACCTCGTCCAGTTCAACTGCCTTTGGCACAACGGCTGTGGCTTCTTCCACTGCCATAGCCAGCAGCAGTATAGAAACCACCACTCCCGTGGACTATTGCGCCGGCTCGCCATGCCAAAATGGAGTAACATGCCAGAGTCTTCAGCAGGGATTCAGCTGCATCTGTGCCAGTGGTTATGTAGGCAACACCTGCGCCGTTGGTGAGTACTCCAAGCGAATTGCTATTAAATCTGACACACGTGCACATTGCGTTTCTCCACATTTATTCAAAATTTATTCAAGTGGATAATTTTAAAGTGCAGTATGTTTATTACTACTGGGTCAATACAGCAGTCAATACAGAAGTAATTCATAATTGATATTTATATTAATATTAATCACAGTAGTCTGACAAGGTACACTTGACTTGCCATGTTGTAGTAAACCGATACTCTCCCGTCTTCCAGTTGATCGCTCCTCTCTGACCTATAACTATGGTGCGGCAACAGGAGATGCTTCCATCACCGGAGATGATGTTACTTCCGGGCGCATAACTGCAACGACTGGCTTCATAATGGGACAGAATTCCCACAAATATGCTTATGTAAGTATAATACTGGGTTCTTCCTTTTTGACAGACATTCAACGTTCAAACTTTATGACATTTACTAAAATGCAACTTGGTGTTTGAAGTATTACTGTGCTACAAAGGGTAGAGGCGGTTTAAAATAGCAATGTCTGCGTGTGATCTCTTTCTCCAAACAGTTTGCACTATATGCATGATAGTGATATTATGTTATATAATGTCTATAATGTATCGTATTATGCATATTGCCCCGTGATAAAAATAATGGCATCCCTACAGCACGTTTCCAGTCAAGTATATAATCCAGTGATATAAATGAATTTGAACATTTCAGGTGAGCACCAACGGTCTGATTTCCTTCGATGGCGCATACCTAAGCTACACGCCGAAGTCATTCCCGCTGACCTCAACATACGCCTCTTCACTACCCATAGTGGCAGCGTACTGGGCCGACATCGAGGCTATCGGAGACCCATCTGCTGTATACTACAAGGCGTATGACTATTACAACGACTATAACACCAACTTAAATACCAGATATACCATAGACCGTGCGACGGCGGATGTAAGGAATTATACCGGCACGGATTCGTTCTCTGCGAAATGGGTGCTGGTCGCCACGTGGGTGAACTGTCCTCCCAACCCCAGCAGCCGGTACGCCGGGGTGGAGGTAAGAAAAGTTCTCAAATGATTCATTCAACTGATATTTGGTCTTTGATTAAAGGCGTGCAACATATGTTATATTATTAAATAGCAATATTAGTTGTCTTGAAATGTCCATCAATCCCCCCTTCATGACCAAGGTGCCAACCACACTGTTAAGAAAATTAAGTAGTACATATTTCTCTGTTTAAATTATGTAATGGTAAACTGATGCCTTTCACGTAATTTTGAATTACTTTATCATTTTTATTATGGTTATGATTATTATTATTGTTGTTGTTTAACAAATCATGTTTTCTCTTTAGAACGTGACGTTCCAAGCCGTGCTTATCACCGACGGGGTCCACTCCTACGCCTACATTAACTATGTGCCTGGTGCCATAACCATAACTCCGTCCTCCATCTTCAAGACAGCTAGGGTGGGGTTCACAGACGGAGCAGGCTATAACTTCGAGCCTTACGTATCAGGGACGGCTGCCATGGCAACGGCTGATAACGTCGTTGGGAACACAGGTAAGTCATCGTGTCATATTTCTCACTTTTCTCTCATTCGGGTGTCCCAGTATATTTGTACAGTGTAGTACTTGTATTTCATAATTTTAAAGATTTACATTGAAAAGGAAGGATTTTTTATTGGATGGATATCCACTATCAGGATCACATATTGATTTTTAGCTAGTTATCCACAGATTTGACTCTGGCTAATCCATGGCATTTTTTTTTCTATCGTCCGAAAAGAATTTTGGTGCGGAATTAATATCTTCATTCACTTGGCATCTAGTGTAGATTAAGTATAAGTAAAGGCATCTCAAAAATTGAATTTTTTAAAATAACCCAAGTGCTTGCAATTCATGTCACCCTCTGAACCTCCAGGTGTCCAGGGGGTCTGGTGGTTCAGACTACATTCCGTGTCCTCGGACTACCCTAACTACGACTCCCTCTGCAAGGACTGGGCCAGCCAGCAGAAGACCACGGAGGCGGCCCTGGGTGTTCAGCTGTCCTCCCTCAGCAGCCGAGTCCTGGCGTGTCCTTGCTCACTGACGGGGGCACTGCTGGATAGAAGATATAGATATGCATCGCGGACAGACCCTGGTATGTTTTTATATTTTTGTTTGACTGCTAGATCATTAAGATATGCATTAATTAATCGACCGGTTTTTTATGTGGTTTTTAATTGTTTATTTTGAATAACGTTGTTTTAGGAACGAAAACTCTTCTGTGTCGGTAATTACAAGCCGGTTTTAGATTGTTCTTCCGGAAAAAAGTTATCACAGAGCTGTTCCCTTTCGAAAACTGTGTGTACACATACCAATATCTGCGTTTTGCACTTACAGCCTACAGCGGTGTCTTGTGCTTCACTACCCGCTGGCCGAGGTTTGTCCGTGGATATCTGTCCGGCCAGGTAAGTGTAGTCTGTATTTGAAAAAATTGCCAACGGCCTTCTTAATTTAAAGATAGTACGGTACTGAGTCCTTAATAGTTTTTAAAAGAGTATGTTGCAAAGGCATTTTTGCGTATTGTCGAATATCATTTATACAGGGAAGTTTAGAATTAAATATTTTAGAATGTTTTATACTGCATTCAGCTATGCAGCATAAAGGAATCGATACCGCGTCAAGTGGATAAATGCTGTCAGACATGCATGTGTGAACTTTTAACATTAACATAACAATTCTTGACATATTTCAGGAGTGTTGTTATGACCTGAGCACGTGGTCACTGATCACCACAGAGAACTCGGTCACCAGCGGTTCCTTCCAGTTGTACCATGAGCGGTTCCAGAGCCGTGCCTACACTGAGAACGACTATCTCCCAAAACAGTACTGCTGTGCTCTGTCAGACAACTGTGGAGTCTACTTCCAGTACAGACCCAATGATAAATGTACTTCGTACAGGCCCATACGTTGGTGTAAGTGTTCTAAGTATTATATTAAAGACATGAATTCTCATTTTTTCATTAGGAGACAAAGGTCATATACTTGTATATCGCCCTCTCACAGAATGTATTTATATAGCTATTCATTTATTTTGTCGAGTATGGTATTAGGTATCTTATTACACAATAATTTGCATTTCGACTATGTACACTAATTTTTCGTTGCATTCTGATATCACCTTTGATTTGTTTTGACTCATACATTTAATCATAACGTTACTGTTCTTCTTCACAGCTTGGTTCCGTGGTGACCCTCATTTCACGACACTAGATGGCGTTACTTATACCTTCAATGGCCATGGTGAATACCAGCTGCTCAACGCGGGCAATGGGGCGTTTATTATGCAGGTGCGTATCAATGTTTTAGTAACTGTTTTAGTAACGCTGAGATTTATCGTCCCTGCCTTCTGTTACACTAATCGTTAAATCAATATAAAACGAAACTGAAACTGATTCAAGTTTAGGGGCAAATTTTGATGAAACGTGTTTGCAGGACACCCTGAGCTTCAGAGCTAACTTGACACTAACCTTTTCACTGTAGCCTATCTCCATCGTGTCAAGTAACCTCTGACGAAAATAGTTTGACCTATTTTATATAAGCCAATCGAATCCATGTTTCAAAATTTTTCACCAAAGTTTGGTGAAAACGCTGATTGGTTGATCGTCAATCGGCAATCCTCGGCTGATTCCGCAAGCTCCATACTAACAACATAGTTATTGTCGAGTGCGGAGACATCCGAGTAGTTCCGAGTGGTTCCGAGTGCATAACCGTACACAAAGAAAGCATGGAGTATATCGGAATTGAAACCAGAGCAGTATGATGCCCTGCATCATTATCTACTGAGGGATGATGTATTTTGCGTGCTGCCCACAGGTTACGGCAAGTCCCTGATATTCAGCCTTATCTTTGATTGGTCCGGATTTGAACAAAGCGCGCTTTGACTCGTTCGCGTTCATTGGCTAGATCGTTCAATGAGTCATTGAGTGCGGGCTTTAAATTTGATTGGCGGGCGGCGGGGGCACTCGAATCTGGTCAGAGGTTACTTGACACGATGGAGATAGGCTACAGTGAAAAGGTTAGTGTCAAGT